CTGTCTAGATTTACACCACCGCTGACCATAACCCTGTGTACAATACCATTGTAAAGTAAAAGTAAAGCACTGTCTAGATTTACACCACCGCTGACGATAGCCCTGTGTACAATACCATTGTAAAGTAAAAGTAAAGCACTGTCTAGATTTACACCACCGCTGACCATAACCCTGTGTACAATACCATTGTAAAGTAAACGTAAAGCGTTGTCTAGATTTACACCACCGCTGACCATAACCCTGTGTACAATACCATTGTAAAGTAAAAGTAAAGCGATGCCTAGATTTACACCACCGCTGACCATAACCCTGTGTACAATACCATTGTAAAGTAAAAGTAAAGCACTGTCTAGATTTACACCACTGCTGACCATAGCCCTGTGTACAATACCATTGTAAAGTAAAAGTAAAGCGCTGCCTAGATTTACACCACCGCTGACCATAACCCTGTGTACAATACCATTGTAAAGTAAAAGTAAAGCACTGTCTAGATTTACACCACCGCTGACCATAACCCTGTGTACAATACCATTGTAAAGTAAAGTAAAGCACTGTCTAGATTTACACCACTGCTGACCATAGCCCTGTGTACAATACCATTGTAAAGTAAAGGTAAAACACTGTCTAGATTTACACCACCGCTGAACGTAACCCTGTGTAGAATTCTATTGTAAAGTAAAAGTAAAGCACTGTCTTTATTTACACCTCTGTAAAAGCCATAGTAGGGCATATTCGTGAATTACTTCACTGTAGCAGCATAATATCCTGATCTATACGACTGTAAAATCACATTAAGATATTGACTTAAGCCACTGTAAAGTCAGAAGCAGGGTATTCATTTCAACCACTGTAAAGGCAAAATAGGCTATTGATTTAAACCACTGTAACGTGCATGCAATGGTGTGGTATTTCCACGATCTACCACTAAGCCAGCTCTGAACGTACTTGACGTCATCGAAGAAGAGCAGTTGACACTGGTTGTCGAAAATATAATAGGGAAAGCGTAATAAGAGTTCTTCAAATAACCGTTCATCGACAAAGGTAGGATCTTCCAAAATACTTTCTTGGCGGACAACCTGTTTAAACACCATCTATTTAAAAAACTTCCACCTTCTTCCAACACACTGTTATTTTAACGGAATGTGCCTCCTCTTCATAATCTACAGCTGTATCAGTGTGTTATCGTTTCCCTCCGAAAGGTAATATTTTCTTGTTCTCTTCTTTCCACAGACTAGTGCGCTAAGCATCTCCCAAATAACTGCGTCTTTTCACAAACACACCTCCTTATTCGAGAACAGTCTATTCGGCTTTGACTGAAAAAGTTGATTCCGAGCGCTCCTTACACTTTATCGGTGTATTCTTTTATAGAGATAGTTTTATATCAATCACATTCTTCTATAGTGAGGTGAGGTGGAATTGGGTTTAACGTCGTGCTTGAGAATATTTCGCTCATATGACGACATGCATGCGTGTGTATGTGTATGTGCGGCTGCTTGTACTAGCCCAGACTTAAGCTGGTTTTATAGTGCTAGCCCACTGAGATACCATGCCGCAGTGAAGCATGAATACCTCACTCAGACACATTATACTGACTCCGAGCCGACCAGTACTTGTTGTACCCATTAATGCCGAGCGCCAGGCAGGGACCAACAAGTACCATATTTAACGTCTTTTGGTATGACGCGGTCGGGGATCGAACCCGCGACCTTCCGCTCTCCGGGCGGACGCTCTAACCACTACACCACGGAGGCGGTCTTTCTGAAATAGTATTATATGGGATCACATTATGGTACAAGTCAAATATAGGGAATTCGTCAAAAAAGGTTTTGTCACTGATGCATCAACTTCGTCCAGATGTTTACCATAAGAAATTTGGAAGCTTTTATGAGGCCTTGTATGTAGTAACCTTGATCAAACATTTTTTGAGAATGAGTCCAATGACGCTGTCTGAAATCTCCCCAGTAAGAGCATGTCCGGATGTGAATCGGAAGGTGTGAAATGTAGGCGACAAAAACAGGAACTACTGGAATGTTGCTGGACATAATATTCCAGAGACACCAGAAATGGGCTTCACACATTGTACCCATGTGGAGTATCGAACCTGGACATTCGGCGGGACGAGTGAACACTTCGACCACTAGGCTGCCGCACCACTACCCCTTGTCTCGTGGAACGTTTTTCGTTACTCTGAAACGTTATGCACAAGTCTAAATTTGAAACAAACGAGACGGTCTCACTGGGGATCCCTGTGTGTTGCCTACACATCGCATACATTTTATCGATGAGGTAGTCCAACGTTTAAACGGTTAAACGTCTGATACATTACATTTTGATACATTTCAGTTTTTACACTTTGCCCAGAACACACGAAGATACATGTGTAACTATATATGTGGTCAACGGGTTTCAAAAATTCTCCATGGATCAAGGAATGAACTTCTCCCTTTAACTTATATAGTGGTGTACAAAACTTCTTTTTTTTCAAACCCGAGCCTGGTCTTCTAAGATTGTTTTTGAGAATCGACATTGTTATAATTTCACCTATTTCAAATACCGTCTGTGCGTATAAAAAAATAATCCCTTCGTGGTTCTGAGAGTTATGGGTGCGGTGGGGTAGCCTAGTGGTAAAAGCTTTCGCTCGTCACGCCAAAGACCGAGCTCGATTCCCCACATGGGTACAATGTATGAAGCCCATTTCTGGTGTCCCCTGTAGTGTTGTTGCGGGAATATTGCTAAAAGCGGCGTAAAACCATACTCACTCACTCACTCACTCTGAGAATTATGGTTAATCCTTATAGGGACGTGGGGCCAGCTATTTGTACATTTTTCTAAGGAACTGTGCTGTCCGTGATAAAAGAGGAATCTATAGACATATCTCAGGTTTCGAAGCAAATCAAAAGTTAGACGAGAGTACAAATAAGAGTATGTTTGGGGAAGATTTTTTCCCCAGTTAGTATACTGGCCTTACACTTGGTATCATCTGCTGTGTCATATACAGCGTTCTTGGATGACCAAATTCGTGTGATGATGTTGTCATATAATGGTTATGTAATCTGAGGCCTTGTCAATGGAAACAACTACAGACTGTTTGTGTAGGGCAGCCAGACTGTGGATGACAGCTTTCTGGGACAAAATGGGTTTACTCCAATTCTGTTTCTACTGTTTCAGTTTGTGCAGTCTACCAATGACAACATCGCGCAGTGAATCAGTCCCCTGTAAAAGACATCCGTTCGTCTTCTCTGCTTTCCCCTTTGTTTGGTCAGCATCCACTGTGACTTTAAGATGTGACCCAATTGGTAGGAGGGTCCTCGCGAAAGTTGGTCCATGTTATAAAACACGAAATTACTGTACCTTCAAGCTAGTACCGAACAGACAATCCATGGATTTCCATCGATCTATGTAATTGGGATACAATGACATGCACCAACCTTAGTTGCCTCTTACAAGTGAGTGAGTGAGTTTAGTTTTACGCCGCACTCAGCAATGTTCCAGCTATATGGCGGCGGTCTGTAAATAATCGAGTCTGGACCAGACAATGCAGTGATTAACAACATGAGCATCGATCTGCGCAATTGGGAACCGATGACATGATTGTGTCCACAAAGTCAGCGAGCCTGACCACCCGATCCCGTTAGTCGCCTCTTACTACAAGCATGGGTTACTGAAGGCCAAGATTCTAACCCGGACCTTCACGGGTATTCCATACAAGTAAAGCAGGCAGTTTAAGATACCTTCATCTTGTGCTCAGATACATGACCATGTGGAGTTCAGTCATATGATTCTGTCACTGTTTCAGGTATATGCTGTATACCTGGGGTAATTATGTAAATACGACCAAAAGAAACTGGAATATACTTCATGCACACATCTGTTTCGGGTTTTACTCTGCTTGCATTTCAAACCATCGTTTATTCTTAGTATCACTGTAGGTATCAGCGAGCATCTAAACGATGTGGGAAAAGTATTTCTAGTTGCCTTGGTGATACACAAATAAAAGCGGAGTTGAAGTACGGTTCCGACAATATCACGAGAATGCATCCATGAATCATGTTAACCTGTCGCCTCGACCCTAGTCCGTCTCCCAGTCCCTAAACCATATTATTTTCTTTACTGCCTAGTCCTCCCTGCAATATTAAAGACCTCAATGTTGCAAGTCTAGATTCCCTCAGGTTCTGAATCTAATATCTCATTTGGTCTCCAAATTAAATGGGATTATTTGTTACTATCAACAATATAAATTCAAAGACTAATCTACTATTGTACCTTGACCCTAGAGAATATATCAAAAAAGGAGTCCAAGTCATGTCTAGATTGCACTAGCTATGAAATTAAGAACTGTTCTGTCTCCCGTAGGATTATATATATATATATATATATATATCATAGATATATATTTTTAAATCAGGTATAATTATTTCTGGGACTAAAACACAAATGAATCATCATCAAGGAGTGATGAAGTACATGCTTGGAGCACCGTCTGCAGTATCAGGTTACCTGATCACCGAGTACAGGGCAATCATGACTGCTGTATACAGCATGGTAACCCGTGGGATGCACGTGCAGACTGGTGCATGTGTGTTCTGGTGCCAGCAGGTCCGGGGCTACACTCTAATAAGCCAGGCTTGTTGACCACGTGAGTCAGATTAAAAACACTCCAGTATTTCAGTTATCACAGCATGTCTCCTTAATGTGGAAACCGTGGTGAGATGGTCAACACTTTGACGAAATGAACAGGTGTGGTGCTTACACAGCAAGGATTATAGCTGGAGTGACGTTTGGTTTCGAAACCACGACAAGCGAATTCTGACGGAACGAAGGGACGCAACTCTGCATGGGTGATTTGGGTGTCTTGAATGCCATTGTAATATGTCATGTATATGTGTGTAATACGTATCAATCATTGTAACGTATGCGTGTTGTGTTTTTGTATTTGTAGTTATTTGTTGCGTTTTACATATCCTTTGAGGACATATGCAAAAATATGTGTTTCTTTCCAGGTTGTCATAACTTCGTCCAGCTCTTCTCAACGGAAGTCGGAAGCAGTGTGCTGGCCTCATGGCGAAAAAGTTCGCTCCTCAAACCTGGGCTGAGGATTAGATTCCTCACAAAATCACAGCCAATGATATCCTGGTGACTGCCGTGGCATGGCGCTGTTATATTTGTGAAAGCGGGGTAAAGCCATATTCATTCATTCTCAGCTTCATGATCACGAGAAGCTTGTTGAAACGGGGTGCTTAATTGTACTTATCTACCCAATCTGAGGTTTTCAAAATCATTGCGTTTGTACTTCATTTGGAAGTAAAGAAGACACTAAAGTTTGTTTCTCAGTCGCGATGATGTCAGGAACCTTTATAATTGTCCTTCTATGTCTAATCAATGTCAGACTCTTACACCTACAAAAGCTTTACCCTTCCAGTGTTTGCCAAAGGTATACATAAATGGAACTGTAACACATATAAGCATAATAGCTGATTAGATATTTCCACGGATTTTAATGATTTAAAATGTGTTGCAGATCACAATGGAGGTTAGTTTTATATTTGAACCCTTGATGAAGGTTCCCGGCGGAGTGATGAACCACGTGTACCACTGGACGACGTCACCAATGTTCCAGCTACGTCGCGTCCGCCTGTAGCTGAATAGATCCGGACCAAGCAAACCGGTGACTGAGGATATGAGCAAACGTCCACGCCGTCGGCCGCGTTTTGAAATACAGTTACATCAAACAACCTTACCAATCGATCCCCACTGAAAGGAAATTGTTGTTTATTTTTTAGAAAGAAAGAACAATCGGACTGAAGAAAAGGTTGTTTGAAGTTGCCAGGCTAGGACATCATGCAGCACTCACACTTTATGTAGGTCCATATTCTAATGAACTCAAACAAAGTGAAAATACATTGAATCTTAATTAAGTTGGTGAAACAAAATTGAAATGCCCGCGCGACCGTACACTCATCGGCGAGTTCCGCCACATTGCCCTGTGATGCAAGACAATAAAGATGAACGTTTAGACCTTCTCACAGATGGTTCTCGAAATTAGTCTTAAGCGCTTCCCATCCGAAGTAATATTTAGTTGCCATGGCAACCGTGTAAGAAAAGACTATGTCAGCCTATTTCTCACCAATGTACGTGAACAATATAACGGAATGTGAGGAACATTAGTTCTTCGGGAGGTGTAACAGACTTGTTCAATATTGTGTCTTTTTGTCATGTTTTACCTTGCTACAGGGGACGTTTGGGTAAAAATTGCTGACTGGAACGGACTGAAACTTGAATTCAAAAAGAGAAAGCGTCAAAACACACTCAATGTGTTCATTCTCAAACTTGCATTAAGTATACATTTACTATAATTTTCAAAATTTCAAAACTGATAGCGCTGCATAAGATACCTTAAAGGATTACACCTGAAATTATTTTGATTGACATTTGAAACTTCAATTTCCACGTGTCCTAAACATGTTAGTCAAGGTTCAGAGGGTCGATGTTTCTCAGACAGTAGTTGGTTGTTTGGTATGTTCCAGCTATATGGCGGCGGACTGTAAATAATCGTGTCTGGAGCAGACAATCCAGTGATCAACAACATGAGCATCAATCTACACAATGGGGATACGATGACGTGTGCCAACCAAGTCAGCGAGCCTGACCACCCGATCCCGTTAGTCGCCTTTTACGACAAGCATGGGTTGCTGAAGATCAATTCTAACCCGGATCTTCACCGGTGTTCTCGGACAGTAAACACTCATGCATCAATCAGCAGCGTCCCCTAAAAGAGCTGTAGAATACTGAATATGATAGAGAATCCTTGCCAGAAAAAATTCCACAAGTCTCCCGATGTTCATGTTTACGTTTCAGTCTGGTAAAGCACGGTGGACTGTGAGGATCATTACAGGCCTTTTCAGAACAGCGATTTCAAAGTTACCCAGATGTTATAACATAGAAATTAAATTGTTATGAAAAGTATCTCTTATTATCACCTAACAACAGGCCTGTTTTTCTTGCATTGATTATTCATATAAGATGGTCAGTGGAGTTTGGAGGACTTGCCAGTTTGCATGTATATCTATTCTATAGTAACGTATCAGTTCCGTCCAAATTGCTGTGAGACCTTAAAACTCAGTTATGTTATGGGTCTTGGAAATATTTCCTAAATTCATTTTAAGGACAATGGAAACCAGTTAAAACCAATCATTGTCCACCGAGGGTGATGACGTCAGACGTTTTCCATAGTGGTTCAAGGTCGACTGTTTATAAGAATAATATCATAACTCTTTACCAATAACGGGACGACGCAGCAGTGCCTTCAGGTTTCTTACAGGAGAACAGGAACGACGCATGAAGCCAGAAAGGACACGTCTATCGTCCAACATCGACCGTTGTTATTTCAGGAAATGAATACTAGAAAGATTGAACAGCAAGGAATAGCACGGATGAGGAAGGGAAGTAACTCTCCTTGACGCACCAATTCCGAAAGAACGCGTGAATGAGTGAATGCTGTTGTATGACTCTGTCAGCAATATTCCTGCTTATTAGGGCGATGTCTAAAATAAAGATTCTGTACAACACCCCGTGAGTGACTGTATGACCAATGGTTACCCAGTAGAAAAATACTGGTGAGTGAGTGAGTTTAGTGTTACGCCGCACTCAGCTATATGGCGGCGGTCTGTAAATAATATAATCTGGACCAGACAATCCAGTGATCAACAGCATGGGCATTGATCTGTGCAACTGGGAACCGATGACATGTGTCAACCAAGTCAGCGAGCCTGACCATCCGTTCCCGTTAGTCGCCTCTTACTACAAGCATGGGTTACTGAAGATCAATATTCTAACCCAGACCTTCACGGGTCGAAGAACACTGGTTGTTAACCTATGCCAACTGCTCGGCTAAAATCGTACTGGTAATAAACAAGTCATTCTATTTTAGCGATCGACTTGCCAGGGTCTGACTGCGGTACAACAAATCGCTGTCCAGATTGGCGCCCCTGAGGCGTGTCATTATCCTATGAACCTTCGTCGTAACTCCAGTTTCATCCAGTTACATTTATTTGTTTGTCAGCACGAACATTTTATATCAACTTAAAACCCGCTAAAACATGACACTTGCTGTTACTCTGCCTGGCGTCCGCCATTTGGGGTTTACACAAACACTGGTCGACTTGGAGTAAAGAACGCAAAGGAAATCTCATTAGGCGACCACTTACAATTGTCAAAGGTTCGGAAGTGAACAGAAGCCAAACACACACGTGCATGCATGCCGAATGTAACTGCAATACCTGCGTGCACATCGTTCTAAAAGTGCAATACATGATTGCATGTCGCTATACAAGTGCAATACGAGCATGCATACCGCGGTGCAATATGTTCAATAACCTTATTACACATAAAACAATTACACACACACCCTTCCACCTCATCCAAACCTCAGCTGACGTTATCCGTACATGTAATGGTCAAAATACTGCTTCCTCCCCTGGACATAAAGCAGGATTGACTTTTGTATTGATCGACATTTTGACTGAATCACCTAAATTAATGCATTCGTTCTGATCATTAGTTTTGTTGCCAGATCAGAATTCGTACTCGACTGACACCAAATACATGTAGTGTACCTTGAAATGGAGCCCAGTGTTTCCGTTATATCACGGCATGCCAGCTTGGGGTAATCAGGTCTTTACCACGTTGCTGAAACCTCTAAGCTCGGGTATGGAGCCCTCATACCTACATATATAAGAAGGGCGGGACTCGAACTCACGGTCATTAGTTTCTAGTGTAGCTTACGGAATGTAAACCTGCACTGCGATAAGTGACGACTCAGACAAATGTCCCATCCGTATCGGAATACAAGCGAGAACAAAGTACCACGATACACATCGTATCCTGATTGAATACAGTCTTAAAAACGCCCCCTCTGATATCATTCATTGTACAAACGTAGCACGCGGTCAGTGCTGTCTTATTGATATTCGATCATTTCTTCTGAGTTATCGACTTTCGGGATGCTTTCGTCAAACCTACCTGTACGTGAACTGATGTTTTATTCAGTCAGGCTGCAAACTGCAGCATAAGGGTACATAAACAACACTTACACTTATACAAATATACATCATAACAGTTATATACAAACGGTATGACAGCAGCAATTTACATCGACCAAGTGACACATTAATGTATAGAGGTTATTTCTTAAATAAAGCCATAATTATTTTAATTGTAATGAAAATTAAGTTACACTGAGTACATTTTCTATCATTTACTGGGATTCGTCGCCATCTACCTGTCTGGATTGGAAGAAAATAAATGGAAGTTCGGAATTTTAACAAGTTATTGTAATGCAGAAACTTTAGGTATTGCTCAAAATTGAGAGATAGATTTTTCAAAATGCTATAAGTGGTTGCTTTGGAAGAGTTTTCAATTGTTGACATAAATGTTTGCTGATAGATATCTTATTATTTACCTTTCATAACAGTTGTAAGCCTAAAATATACTTTCAAATGTTGGGATTTCCAGATGAAAAATTCTCTCAAGGTAGATTATCCGTTTATGTTCACATTTGCCAAATATATAATAATTGAATATCAATTTATGTATTAAGAAGCACAATATTTGATGATTTTCCAGTTAAAAGTTTAGTCTAAAAACATACCATTCTGCTTTTAATAACATTTACAAACTCGCCATGTGCCATAAAGTGAGGTGTATTTTTCCTGAGTGATGCTAAATATTTGAGAAAGCGTAGATGAACATTTTCAAAGCAGGAAATATTTTCAAAAACACAGACCTCACATCCATATAAAAGAAATGGGGTGACCATACAATCAATGGAAAGTTTAAGTTTTGTACCTTGGCTTAATACGAAAAACATTGCTTTTGGTGCCTTTTCCACCAGCATACGTTTGGTTTTAGTAAATCTACTAAAAGTATTCTTTTGTAGTGCAATGCCAAGATAGAGATAATAATCTACATTTTCTAGGATAGTATCTCCAATATTGAAACTTCTTTTATACTCTGTTTTGGATCCACTGAAAATAAGAATTTTGGATTTGGATGTGTTAAATTTAGGCTTCCATTCTTTACAATAATTATGAAAAGAATCTGACATATTTTGCAAATCACATGGGTCTGAGGACATATGGACGGTATCATCAGCATGTAGTAATAAGCGTATTTAAGGGGTTGTGAAAATCACCAGGTTTGAGTTGTAAACCACAACATGAAGCTGAAACTGAAGCATCTTCACGATCATTAAGAAATAGTGAAAACAAAACTAGAGACATGTTCTCTCCTTGGCGGACACCTTGTTTACATAAAATGAAAACAGAATAATTACGGCCGTTACAAACACATGATTTCGTATTTTGTTACAGGTTTAAAACGATCTTAAACATTTCCCAGAAATGTTTTTGCCAGAGATCTCATCTCCAGACGGTATCCAATGCTTCTTGGAAATCAATAAATGCGCAATATAACTTCTTTTTGCGACATTTCAATAGTTCCGAAAGGTGATATTAAGTGAAAATATGGACTGTTGGCGAATATCTGAAACTAGTCTGAGCTTCGGAAAGGATTTGTTTTGATTCGATGAATTTATCTAATCGGCTGTTTAAAAAATAGATGTGAAAAGTTTTCCAAACCAGCACGGTGATGTTATGGGTCTATAATTTTCAGGGTTTTTAGAATCGCCTTTATTTTAATGAATTGGTTTGATGATACAGGTTAGCCACTTATCTGGGAAAGTAACAATGTCAAGTACAATGTTAAAAGGTTTAACATAAATATGTAAGAATATATCAACATGGAACTCAATAATTTATTGGTTTTCCTAGGGGTTTTTTTGGTTTAACTTTATTGACTGTTTGTTGACAGATTATCCATTATATTTATTGCGTGTTTGCTGCTTGACGCCGCACTCCATGACCCCCGGGAGTCGATGATCGAGTCAGGAACAGACACTTTAGTGATTGATATTGTGAGCAGCGAGTCATGCCGTCGGGCACGATTGTGCACAATTTACCAGGTCA